AATACAACATAATACAACAGTACAACATACATTAAGTCCCAGTCGGTACATGTCCAGACAACTAACCCATAGACTATCATCACGGAACACAATTGTAGAATAAACAACGTCATTTGACAAACGTAGCAGACAAATACTTTATCCAATATCTTAGTACAACACACAAGCTATGTAATAATTTGATTAAAGTACCAAATCAGTAAGTAAGGAAAATGAAGCCGTATCCTTTGAGTTGGGAAAACTGGTTTTATCCCGCAGAATCGATAACACGAGGGACCTTTTCAAAATTGTCAAAATTTGAGAAATGCGGTAGTATGTCTTAACCAGCCCTACTCTGAGGATGACCTTAGATGGATGGCAAAGTCTGGCGAACTTAAATCAATATCCTCATAGTGAGAACTATAGCTTGTTCTGGAAATGTACAATGGCTAGGTGTCTAGAAATTGTCAACGTGTTATGTGGGTATGGAGTCGAATAAAGTCAATTCTCGTTATCTCGAATATTGCGCCTGTATCGAGTTATCCGATGGTTGGGACAAGTTTTGGGGAACATAAATGATGGTTCCATCTGCCAGGTATATCACAATACGTTCACTCTTCATGAGTACGGATGTGTGGCGTCGGCCAACAAACACCTACTTTTTTATGCAAATTATGTGGGTGGCGGGTGCCCCGTAAGGACAGGTCATGCTTACCTTTGTCACGAACATCTTGTGTCATCACTGATATTCAGTGATCCATTCATATAATTTTCACTGCTATTTTGTCCTTTTGCGCCCAATGGAATCTGTTTTGACGGATAGTCGAGAATGGTTAAACGCTTGCGTTGACTTTATATATTTAAGGATATCTCGGTTTAATGAAAATTGTATACTGGATAATTTATTGTTTAATTACATCATAAGATCAGTGAATATCTGCATAACGAAAGTAAAGTTCAGTTGCCGTTTCACGCTTGATGTCGGGTAACTCAAAAGGAGAGACAACTTTCAGAGCTTGACTACACAGACTTAGTTATTTCGACTTAAAGGAAAGGTGGGGGGGGGGGGGGGGGGGGGGGGGGAACCTTGTAATCTTGGGATGCATCTTTAAATCTTCTAAAGCTCATTTCACTTTTTTAGCTATTGGTTTGTATTTCCGGGTTACCAAGGACATATGACTGTCACACGTACTAGAGACCTTTTATCAAGCCAGAAATGCTTTCACTGTGTACGTAGATCGGCCTCACACAATGGTGACCATCAGAGTGAGTGAGTTGGTCACAACGCCGCTTTTAACACAATTCCAGTTGTAGCGCGGGGTGTCAGATTAATGTGGGATGAAAGCCCGGAGTGATGCAAGTCTCAGACGTTTACCACTTTGGTCAAACCCTAGAGCACGGGTATGGTGCTGACAAACCTAGAAATATAATCGGGGCGAACCGGGAGTCGAACCCACAACCATAGGTTTCTGGAGTGCCAAAGGGTCGTAACTTGGACGACTGGGCCACCCGTGCCCCTGGTGACCATCAGAACTTCCGCAATTCTAATTGGCAACTTCTGTCAAAGCATCAAATTCCGGCAATGCCACGTAGTTCTTCTATTACCATTTCACGTGTGTATAATATGTGAATGCTAACACTCCCAGTTTCAAACTGAATTATTCGATATCAATCAATGAAAACATGCCTCTGTTTTCAAAACACAGTCAATTTACCTCCACTTTTGATCATTCCTAGAACACACCATACATCAGAGAAAACAAAGGGACACTTGATATGCTCGTATTTCGCACTGTACGGCCTCCTTCGGGGCTCGGCGTTGTGAGGGCTGGGATAGCTTAGTGGATAAAGTTTTCGTTGGTAATCTTGAAAGCCTAGGGTCGACCGATAATGTGCACGAAGCCCGTATTTATGTCCGGGCAAGTTGTTGCCCAACTGCTAAAACCGGCGTCAAACCTCACTGATCTGATCTGTCCACAAATTCATGGTTTTGCGAGGACAAGAACACTACTTCGCCTGAAACGATCTCTCGACTTAATGGAACTTGTAGTTCGGACAATGTATTGTTGAATTAGATCGTATGATCACTGATTACATGTGTTGGTACAACTAAAGTTCATATCCGGCTGCGGGGTCACCGGTGACCCAGTCGTCTAAGGCGCCGCGATTCGCTGTGCAGAGTAACGTCCCTTGGGCACGCCAGAAACCGATGGTTGTGGGTTCGAATCCCGGTTCGCCCCGATTATGTTTCTAGGTTTGTCAGCACCATATCCGTGCTCGTGGTAAACGTCTAAGACCTGCATCACTTCGGGCTTTCCTCCCACATTAAGCTGACACACCGCGATATAACTGAAATACTGTTCAAAGCGGCGTTAATGAATACTCACTTACTGATTAGATCCGGTTTCCGACTCGACTACGGGTAACACTGGGAGTTCCAGTTTGAACAAAGACTTTAGGTTTGCCCATTTACATAATATTTAAGAGGATATGTATGAAACAATATTGGTCGTCTAGAGGTACATCTCAACGTTATTGATGTTTCAAGTTTTAAGGTTATTGAAGCTTTATTTCAAGGAACCAGTATGGAATGTGCAATTAATCTCATGCCTTATCATCGGCGGTCATATTATACGCCATACGGTAAACTAAGAGAATAAACTAACCATGTTTCTCCTAATATGGTGAGTTGGATCATGTAGGTTCTTATCTTTCACTGGAACTTATAACGGAGGATGTTTCCATTCTTCACGTCGGAAATATTGAAACTTCAATATGCCAGTACATTACGCATCTTTTAAGCATCCTATGCCACAAGGAGTCATTTAGTCCCATTCTAATCCGAACTCGAGGACTAGATGACTACCAAGAGGATACGAAGAGCGGGCTACTATTTCATAATCGGGCCAGACATGTTATTTGATTACAGCGCGATGGAGAGAGGACTCACCAAGTTATTGGGCATCGCTTTCACGCGTAAATAAAGTGCCTCATCTATTATTCTTATATGATTAAACACTTACTTGCAAACGCATTAGAGTGCAGTATTGCATTACCTACGTGGCGCATCAGAGGGTAATAGGGGTCACTCTTCTTCGTGAATTTCCACAACTAGAACTGTCTTATGATGTTACAGTATGTCACGTGGGACACTTGTTGGTGTATTTATGAATGTTAACTGTAACCCGTGTGTGACTGTATTCTGTAACTTTGTAACCCGTGTGTGACTGTATTCTGCAACTTCAAACGCGTGTCTGACTGTATTCTGTGAAATTGATTACCCGTGTCTGACTGCATTCTGTAACTTTGTAACCCGTGTGTGACTGTATTCTGCAACTTCAAACGCAAGTCTGACGGTATTCTGTGAAATTGATAACCCGTGTCTGACTGCATTCTGTAACTTTGTAACCCGTGTATAACTGCATTTCGTAACTTGATAACCCATGTCTGACCGTATTCTGTAACTTTATGACTGTTTTGTTTAACTTTGTAACCCGTGTATGACTGTCTTCTGTGAAATTGATAACCAGTTATGACTGTATCCTGTGACTTGATAACCCGTGTATGACTGTAATATGTAACTTGAAAATTTGGACTGTGTAATGTTTAGTGTGTGTGCGATCGATTTAGTTGAGATATGCACCCAATGATTCTAAGTTCAGCTTGACCATCCCTTGACAACACGGGTGTACAACTGAACTTCGGTTTGTAAAACGTTTATACAAGATTGGACATTGTTATTGCCATGTTCATGGTCTTGTATAAAGCTATCAAATTAATGTACAGAAATGAAGACCTGGTCTAATTAAGTCACTTATGGTACCCAATGTACAATGTTCTTGACGGCATTGCGATTTACAACAAGCAGAACGGAGAAACCAATATAGTTTTATTACCCACAAATTGAGACATAAATCTCAACAGCTTAAAATATGATGAATTAACATTGGTCCAACCACATACACTTGCGAACGTTCCTCTCGCCTTTCTTCCTGATTAAACCCGTCTATGGAAAGAAATAATTCAGTGCCATGCCAAGCAGAAATTCCATTATCCTGCTACAAACCATGGCACCGGCAGGTCTGTAGACGACACGAATTGAGCCTTGCCGTGCACGTGCCAACACAGGCGGGTGCCAAGGCAACCGAGGACCAACTGACCACGAGAATGAACTGACCACTGGGGATTTCGACATGATTTGTAATTTTGTTGTAATGTCACTCGCCATATTGATAAATGAACGGACAAAGGCTTTGAGGAGTAAAATGGGGTTCGCTCTCATTTATAGGGCCTGTCCAAACGTTTCAGAATTCTGAGCTTGGCGGCGTAGCTCCGAGTTGATTAAGTCCCTGGGATTAGTAATTGTGCTATGGGTTCATGCGACTCTATTAGCATGGATTACATTGACAAATTGCTATTGTTGGTGTGTTTAACATCTAAACTAAATCTCGAGAAGACGCAGCAATGGTCGTTAATATCAGCTGAGACGTTAGATCAGTCATGCGCACAACATAAACGCTATCCCCCTTTGTCCGGGTACAGAGACAGAATCCTATCAACGCCTTCTAGCGTTCATAAACAAGCGTCATCAATGGGGCAGGTTCTATTTGTTCCTACATTTGGAAATCAGATTGGTTTGATGTACATAATGTATTCTTGTAGCGTCTGTTTAGTTCATTCTGAACCAATACACATTGTTTATAACAATACGCTCATGGGCTATTTTTACGGTTACCTTGATGTAAAGATTTGACGTTTATCAATTGTTGTTAATACCGACATGCATATATTATTACAGCGCATGTGGTAATCCTGATCGGGATAACGGTAGAATATTGCCACGACGTTTAATTCGATGTCATATTATATCTAGTCAATATTTCAGCATGAAACTATACCTGTGCAATGACCACATGCTCAACTATTGCCTATTTATATTTTTTCAATTCATTTTTTTAATTTCTTTTCTTTCCATGGAAACAATGTAGCCATACTCTCAAACAAATAACATTTGTTTTCAGCCAAAACTGTCCAGGAATACGAATTTCTCCAAGGAAACATGATCCCTCCAGGCTAGTATTTGCTATTATTGTTTTTCGGATTTACATGCCAATATAGTAAGAACATGAACTAAAGTATTGAAGAAGAGGTGGAGACATTTATGAGCAACATCACATTCTAGTTGTTCATGCACTTCCTCCCTCAGGGAGTACCTTCCTCCCTTTTCCCCACTCTTCGCCTGTTCTTCTCCATCGTCGCACTATATATTTGCATGCCTCTATTTTGTATCGTAAAGAATACGGTCATTGGTTCCTGTTGGTCTAAGAAATACTCTCACTTCATTTGCACAGTGATATTAAACGTCACTCGATACAAACCCTCAAGTAATGCAATGGATCATATTTCGGTCCTACCATTACGAACGGCCGTGGCTGTGGTCGAGATGATTTGCCGTTCACAATTACCAGTCCCTAGATGCTACATACAGCCTGTGTGAAGGTCGAGGTCATTACAGGGCAAAGTCTCGTAATGAGTATTGTCTGTGTGTCTCGCCAAGGATTGGAATGACATATCACAGAAAAAGATAAACCTACTAGATATATTATGTTTTCTTTGAAAACGCCACTGTTTTTATAGCCCTACGCTCAAATCTTAGGACCGGTAGTGTTCGCCACATACAATAAGACAGGTGCTATGTCTTATATATATATATTGGTTATCTTTACAAAATGCAACTGTCCGTAAGGTATTAACGAAATCATTACGGCTGTCCTCTGACACCAACGTAAAGCCAAGTATTCTCATCAATTTGAAACAAAAGTGTCCATTTGAAACGTAAACGCGTTTGTCGTGATTTGGACATGGACGTAACACGTCAGGTAAAACTATAATTCTTCTGGTTGCCTACTCTGTCTTACAGACCCTGATACAAATATATATCAAATACAGCCCATTCAAGTCTATAATGTTAGGCAAGTCTAGATCACTGCAGTATCTGAAAATGAAGAGAGTCACTGGGCTCCTTTTTATTATATTTTTATTAAGATAACTGAACAACTGTTTTTTTATGTACGATATGTTCATTTCAGAGACTAGATGTTAGTCTACTGGTTGCCTTACAATCATTAAAGTGTTCTTTACTTCAAAATACAATGGAAGTGAATATGCTTTAACGTATTTATGTTTCTTCTGATTTAGACATCATATCAATGTTAATAAACTAGCGTCCAACATCCAAATTTGAAAACATATTATAATATTGTATACTTAACAATTCGTGTCGCAAAGGACCCTAAATTCTATTGAAAGGGGAAAAGGCTTATGTCAATCGCAATCGCGGTAAATTTGAACCCATTTAATGTGTATATCAGTCGAATTTTTGTGAAAACCTTAAGTACACACAGACAGATTAAAACAAGTGATTATGTACAACGTCTACACCTAGATCGACAACAGGCACCAGATAGCAGAGCATGGTCTACCTTGAAGGAAGTATCCACTCTTAAACAAAGAGTCCAAATGATGAGTATGATAATCTTGAGATGCCAATACGGCGAGGTCTGGGAATTCCCCCGAACTATAGTCCTCTGTCAGTCTCCACGTGGTGTAGGACATGCGACACTATTGGTCTCCAACCCAGCTAAAGCACGTTATTTTAATAAACAGGAAGATGCGATTCCATTGTAACCCCCAAGTCGTGATGGAGGCGCTGATGAATCGGCTTAAACTCACGTTCAATGGCTGCCGATAATGTCTAGTCTCTGATTGACGATCTCTCACAATTGGAAATTTGGTGAACGAGTAACCATTTCGTTGAACGAGATCATGCGCACGTGCTGTGTCTTGCAAACGGGGAAACCGCCTGGGCCAACTTTTAGAAACGTTAGCTTACTCAACCATTGTGAAAAAAAAGTTATTCAATTAACGCTCCAAATTCAATGTTTCTATAACGTTTTCTTGCTATTTATTCTTGTTCACAGGTCAGACTTTCCTGTTTCTCACGAAGCTCGGTATAAGAACACTTTCCTGTATAAAAAGCCAAGGTGCATCAGAATATGATTTACCATTCACATATGTGAATCACGTTGATCCGGCCTGATCGGTTAATCCCGCAAAAAAAGAAACATCGATTATTTCTGTGGAAGCATTGGTTAATCGGTGGAAACGTAAAAAGTACAGTTTTATGTAGCCATCCACTACCCACATCCCAAACATCGCCACCCTAAAGCCATCCCCCCCCCCCCCCCCCCTTCACACACACACACATCCACAACTCTCACCCCTATTATCGCCACCCTAAAGCCGCCACCACCACCCCCCACACACAATTACACACACACAGATCCACAAGCCTCACCCTTAACATCGCCACCCTAAAGCCACCCCCCCCCCCCCCCTCCACATACACACACATCCACAACTCTCACCCCTAACATCGCCACCCCAAAGCCATCCTCCCCCCCCACCCACCCCCTCCACACACACACACACACACATCCATCAACAACCCTCATCCCTAACATCGCCATCCTAAAGCCACCACCCCTCAACACACAAACACACACACACACACTAAACACACATCACACACAAAGAGACACGCACGCACACACACACACACACACACACACACACAGACATCCATCCACTACCCTCACCCCTAACATGGCCACCCTAAAGCCATCCAACACACACAAACACACACACGCACTCACACACAAACACACACACATACACAAATTCATCCACTACCCTCACCCCTAAAATCGCCATCATAAAGCCATCACAGACACACACACACACACACACACACACACACACACACACACACACACCCGCGCGAATATATTTATGCAAAGGTACATTTGTAATAAAATGTAATTCTTTTATGCTTCTGAGGCACGTCTTGACTCGGAACCTTCTACAGTTGTGGATTGAGACAATATTGAATTGTTTCCACGTCCTATACGTCACCTTCGCTAGCGACTCCTTGTCTGCACAACCCAACTGTATATTTTAATCCAACAGTGACAGTGCCCAATCCTTGATCTCTTGCCAACCCTTTTTTTCACCAATCAATGTCCATTTCGAGACTCCGCGATGCCTCTTAGCCTAATTTTTCACTTATTATCCTTGGTGTCATGTTGTATAACTTGTTCCCTATCGATTTTCCTGGTCTGCTGTCTTTATAATGGCACCAGATTCGGAGACCTTTGCGTTTACCTCTGTGCAGTCAATATTATATAATGGACTTCGGTGCATGATTTGATTTATATCAATAGATTAGGAATTATGGATGGGTGACCGTAAATTCTCACGTCTATATTAACTGACGGATCGCATTGCCTTAATTCTGAAGATATACTTGTACATAATTATGTCATCTGATTATTGCTTGCCGTCTTGTTCGGTTATATAATGATGGACAGGTCTATAGTAATGTAGCATGTGCTTTTAAACATTTAGATCTAATACCTAATTTTGTTTGTGATGAAATCCATTTCTGACAACGGCGATAAATCTTGCTTTTGCATCAATATGTACCAATGTATCCGTGAACCTTTGCTCCAGTGCACAGGACCATTGCGTTAGTGTACCAGAGTGAATGTACTGCAGCGAACCGGTACACCAGTGCATTAGTTTATCAGGGTGAAAGTACTACAGTGCACCGGTACACCATTGCGTTAGTGTACCAGAGTGAAAGTACTACAGTGCACCAGTACACCAGTGCATTAGTGTACCAGGGTGAAAGTACTATAGTGCACCAGTACACCAGTGCATTAGTGTATCCAGGTGAAAGTACTACAGTGAATCGGTACACCAGTGCATTAGTGTATCAGAGTGAAAGTACTACAGTGCACCAGTACACCAGTGCATTAGTGTATCCAGGTGAAAGTACTACAGTGAATCGGTACACCAGTGCATTAGTGTATCCGGGTGAAAGTACTACAGTGCACCAGTACACCAGTGCATGAGTGTATCAGAGTGAAAGTACTACAGTGCACCAGTACACCAGTGCCTTAGTGTATCCGGGTGAAAGTACTACAGTGAACCAGTACACCAGTGCATGAGTGTATTAGAGTGAAAGTACTACAGTGCACCAGTACACCAGTGCATTAGTGTATCCGGGTGAAAGTACTACAGTGCACCAGTACACCAGTGCATTAGTGTATCAGAGTGAAATTACTACAGTGCACCAGTACACCAGTGCATTAGTGTACCAGGGTGAAAGTACTACAGTGAACCGGTACACCAGTGCAGTATTGTACCAGAGTGAAAGTACCACAGTGAACCGGTACACCAGTGCATTAGTGTACCAGAGTGAAAGTACTACAGTGCACCAGTACACAAGTGCATTAGTGTATCCGGGTGAAAGTACTACTGTGAACCGGTACACCAGTGCATGAGTGTATCAGAGTGAAATTACTACACTGAACCGGTACACCAGTGCATTAGTGTACGAGGGTGAAAGTACTACAGTGAACCGGTACACCAGTGCATTATTGTACCAGAGTGAAAGTACCACAGTGAACCGGTACACCAGTGCATTAGTGTACCAGAGTGAAAGTACTACAGTGAACCGGTACACCAGTGCATTATTGTACCAGGGTGAAAGTACTACAGTGCACCAGTACACAAGTGCATTAGTGTATCAGGGTGAAAGTACTACAGTGAACCGGTACGTAAGAGCATTAGTTTATCAGGGTGAAAGTACTACAGTGAACCAGTGCATATGTGTACCAGGGTGAAAGTACTACTGTGAACCGGTACTTAGGTGCATTATTGTATTAGGGTGAAAGTACTACAGTGAACCGGTACTTAAATGCGTTAGTGTACCAGGGTGAAAGTACTACAGTTCACCAGTACACCAGTGCATTAGTGTATCAGGGTGAAAGTACTCCAGTGAACCGGTACTTAAATGCGTTATTGTACCAGTGTGAAAGTACTACAGTGAACCGGTACACCAGTGCATTAGTGTATCAGGGTGTAAAAATACTACAGTGAACCGGTACACCAATGCATTAGTGTATCAGGGTGAAAGTACTCCAGTGAACCGGTACTTAAATGCGTT